ATTCCACAAAGAATTATAACTTCACCTTCTGAGTTCAGCTTCCTCAGTTTGTGATTTCCCTTCTCCCTGATTCCTCAACCTACTCAGCCAGCTGTTACACCATGGGTGATTCTGCCAAGGATGTTTAACGAGCCTATTAAAATAAGGACTTTCTCAATAAATCTCACGGAACACACGTCAGCATTATTAAATAAAACATCAATATGATAGGTCTATTTATGTTATTAATGTACCCCTATATTCTTCATAATAAATAAACCTTGTCTTGATCTTCTGATACCCCATAGATTTCTTATTTTAAAAAGAAAATTGATATTCTCTGATGCTGATTTTAGGCCACTTTAAAATGCATGATTCAGTTTTTGTCTTCCAGTATTTCTGCACTTCCATTTGCTCTTTAAGAAATTCAAGTAATTTTTTTCTTTAAAAAAAAAAATGGCATCTCACTATTTAAATGCGGGGCAAATAGTTCTCAAGTATCTGATCCTCCAGTGGAGAAGGCAGAAAGAGACCTCTCAACTGATGCTTACTTTTGTCGTATTATGCTCCCACAGTTCTAATAGTTGTAGAAATGGGGGAAAGACAATGAAGTAAGCTTCCATACTTCCATATCTTGATAGAAAATTAGCCCAGAAACTCCTTATATTTGCAGGGAGATTTTCTTAATTACTAAGTGTCTGGGGTTTGACTGTTTAAATCGTAGTCATTGGCTCTTATGTACAGATTCTACTTTTCCAAGTTTTAGCTGTTAATCAAAAATGGGAGGAATGCAGGAACTGCATTCAGCATAAGAAATTAGCTTGACAAGACTAAGATTATTACATGTTGAAGGACATGAATGGGAGAGATGTGCTTTTAGGAAGTATTAAGTTATCAGTATTTTATTAAGTGTATGTAGGTGTATTTTGTACTTCATAGTGTACTTTCTAAAAATGTAAGGGGAGGTTCATGTAATACACCAAGGCTAGTAATAATATGTATGTCCAATTGACCTTCAAAGTAAATCATTTACCAAAATGTCTCATGGAAAACAAGACAACACCAAACCAAACCCTGAAGTCCCAGTATTTGTGCTGGATGTGTTTTCCTGTAAGATTAACTCTAAAAAGGAAACAAAGTTCTCAACAAAATCTGTATGCATGTCTATTTTCTGGTTATATTTTGTCCTTTCTTTCTTGCCCTTTCTAGGACTGTTTTCTTGTGCTAAACAAGACAGTCTCCATCTTTGCAGTGCTCCCTCAGGCATGGAAAGGGGATACAGCATCTGCCAGGGTAAGCAATTGGACTGGATCTACTCTGTAACCAAGAGAGGTTTTAGTTACAGGTGGCAAGCTTTTGCACGCCTCCTTCTAAAGAAATTCATTCCTCTAAACTGTTCCTTACCCTTATTCCAGATTTTTCCTCTGTCTATGATGGAGGAAAATAAGAAAGCATGCCCCATAAAGTAACACTGAGGCAAATTTTGTTATCTAAGTAGTCTACATTCCAAGTTGTGCTTTGTTCAGAAACATGTTTATTTTCCATCTAATGATCCATCTCCATTTCCCAAGAATCCACTGAAGACAAGCTGGTAGATTTGTAAAATATAACTATTTAAGACTTTTTTTTTTTTTTGAACTTACTTTATCAGTGACTTGATTCTTACCACTAGTTCATTAACTCTATATTAACAAGCCAAAAGGTTGGCTTTGCTTCCCAGAAAAAGCAAAATATTGGTGACAATGTAAAACACAGAGAAGATACGTTCAAATGAGTCTTCTTGTCTAAAATAAGGCATAGTGCAAGAAAGGGGACAATAATACAAAGGATAAATAAATTGATTATAGTATTCCTTAAGTGATAGAATACGACTATAGTTCTGATAAAGCTAAAATTGAGAAGCTGTAGACTGCCTATAGCATTTGCCTAGTCATAACTACTAGCAAGCAGAACAGACTCCTTCCAGCCAGTATCAGTTGCTCACTAGTTCCCCCGCCACCCTTCTCTCCCTGCACATAGAAAGGAAAGATCTGCTAAGTATTTAATCTGTGTCCAGGAAATAAAGCTTTCATTTTACAACCTAACCAAGTCCTAATAAAACAGTAGGGTGGTGCGAGAAACACAAACCTGAACCCTGAAGCAATGTTTTTAGCCAAGAGTAAGACAAGGAAAGCATGAGCAATTTGTTTGAGCAGGAACTGACAATATCAGCAAAGTGTGATGTGTCTATGGAGCAGTGTTTGATAAATGTGAGGCAGCCATAAACATGAGAAGACAATCTAGTGATGCTCTGTGCCCCCCTCCCCCCGTAGTTTTTTCTTTCTTTCTTTTTTTTTTTTCTTTAAATCCTCTTCTCTCCTTTGGTGTATTAATATGGCCCGATCTAAGATGCTCATAAGTACACAGAGATTGATGGGTTGGGGCTCTTTCCCTGGTTGCTGTATAGGATGCTTATTTATTTATTATATTTGGACCTGATGCTAGTGCTGCTGTTGGTTGCAGTGGTGCATTTCCTCTGGCATACCCACACCCCTTCCACCACCACTTCTAGTCTGCTGTGAATAGCAGCACTTTTTTAGTAATTAGTTTACATACTTAATAAAAGAGACCCATGTCCTTAATAAAAGAGAATGCAGCTGATGGAATCTCTCTGGGTAGAGAAAGAGTAAATCCTCTTCCAGGCTAAGAGAGAATGAGACACCAGCAGACAATTATTTTGCAGTGCACTGAACAGACAATTCACGGGAAATGTTGAAGGCAGAGAGGAGGTGACCCCCAAGTGCAGTCCATTGCCCACATGTTCTATAATAAATAATCTTCTCACACCAGCCCAGCAGTGAGTGCAGTGACGTGCCGGGGCCAGCACACACAGATTGGCAGGGAAAACACATCCAGCAGTGTCGAATTTTCATTGCAATCACCAAATTAACTGATTTCCCCACATCACACTCCCACTACCAGACGTGGAGCGCGCTCGCGCGCGCACGCACATACAGACACAGATAGACACACACGCAGAGCTGAGAAATGCAAGTTACTGAGAGGTGAAATGGGGTATCTAGGAGCACGTTTCAGTCTGGATTAGAAACCTAAAGTAATGTGTCAGCCACCCGGGTTACTTGTGAGAGGGTGGGGGTCTGAACGGTAGGAAATGGGACTAGGCAGCGTAAGCAGGAAGAAGGCTGTCTGCTTTCTCAGGGATTCTGGCACATGACATATCCGAAATTTACATACAACATAAAACACATAAGATATTGTAAGAAATATCTTTGCAAGGTCAGTTAGTTAATTCAGAAGAATTCTGTCCACTACCTCTTCTTTCACATTCATAAATATACATAAATAAAATACATCCCAGTCTATATCCTGGAAGATAGGAGACAGGATGCATTCCAAGAACTTGCTGAAAGATGGTTCATTGACCTCATTTAAATCCTCCGAAGGCCGATTGGGTTTTGCACGCCTGTGGGTCTACTTGTGACTTACTTCCAGATTCCTTTTACCCAGGGACAAATAAATTTGATCAACTTATCTTTCTCACAAGTACAGAAATGATGACAGAGGGGTTAGAGGTGGGCAAAGATTTATCAAGAAATTAAGAGTCACCTAGCTTTAAAAATCCGATCGACCATCATTTCACATCCATCCTTCCTGTATCTCACACTCAAGCCATATCCCTATATTCCTACTCTCTTAAAAGCAACAATTTTCTGCCTTACAGCCTCTGCCCACCCAGACCTAGCATGCCGCCTCTGCCTCAACCACCACCCGAAGTGTGCTCTCCTCATGCACTCCTACTCCATACATTGCCATTCATTTCATAACCAGCGTCGTCCTCCCATTCCACACAGACCCCTCCTCCCTCCTCCAAGAGAGGGTCTGAGGAAAAGTGCACCCCAGTTCCCTAGCCACTCCGCATCCAAACCCAGTGATTTGCATAATAACAGTGTTTTGTGCGATTTCCCTCCACTGCGGTCGCAGGGGTTCTTGCATTTCACGTGAAAGGATAATATTAATTACGAAAAGAAGCGGCAGAGAGCAGAGCGGAAGGAGAGGTAAGGGAATCCAAGCGAAAATCCCTTAGCAGTAAAGTAACTGCTTAGGTGCATATATTTCTTTGCTTAAAGAAAAAGAAAAGAAAGAAAGAAGGAAAGAAGAGCAAAAGAAAAGAAAACTACACAGACTAATTAATAATAATAAAAAAAAGGTTTGTTGATAAAGTGGCTTTGGATGTTTTAATTTTTCCTTTCCCCTTTCCTTTTTTATTTTTTTTTATTTCGTGATTTATTCTTTCTCTCCCCCCCCCCCTTTTTCGTTCTCCCTCTCTTTTTCTTTTCTTTCTTTCTTTCTTTCTTTTTTCCTTTTTATATCCCAGGCACAGTCTCCTCTCTCTTCTTAGGTGAATGACACGTCTCACAACACACCCCCCCCCCCCAACCCCGAGATGTTATTGCAATGCACACAGTGCTGCCGCTGCTGCTGTTCTCGCCGTCTCGGTAGCTCGCTCCCAGGCTCTCACTCACTTTTTAAAGATACACGGATATGATGGTGGTGGGTAGAAGGGGAAAGAGAAAGGCGACCCGAAACGGGGGGAGGGTAGACAGATGACAAGGATGGAGAGGGTCGGTCAGGAGCGTGGTGGGGGGGGGGGGGGGGGGGGGTTGGGGGGAGGGTATAATGTTCGGAGAAGGCACAAGTTGCCAGCCAAAAGGCGTGGGAGGTGGGGAGGGGGTGGCTGGCGGGGATTGAGAGTGAGAGATGTAGGAAGCTCAGGTGAATGAAAAGGCGAAAGGTGCCGCGTAAGGGGCTGACTGCTGGGAGAGCAAGGCTGAGCCAGCGCTAGAGATTCGAGGGGCTGGAGCAAACTGCCACTGCCCCCTGCCGCACCGGGGAGTAGGGGGAGGGGGTGGAAATCGCCGGGGACTGGGGGACTGAAAGGGGAGAGTGGAAATATGGGGTGGAGTGGGGATGATAGGGAATGGGCGTGAAGTTGATGCTCCCCGCGGCGGGGCGGGGATTACCTTGTAGCAGGAGCCCGCAGACACTGTAGAAGCGGAGAACGGCGCTGCGTTTCCAAATCATGGTCCCTTCTCTAATGGGTTAGGGAAGGAACGAGGGGGCAAGGAGATGCTGGTGAGTGGGACACCAGAGTGCAGGGATCCGCCGGTGTCCTCCCGGCGCCTGCTGGACGCACGGTCCCCGCCGCTGCGGTGATCGAACCCTCGGACTGGATTGGAGGCAGCAGAAGCGGCAGCTGCGAAGCACCCGCAGAATGGGGTTTCGGTGGGCGAAATAGTTTCTTCTCCTCCTCCGGCTGTGGTGCAGCCGCGACAGCCCGTCAACCAGGCACGGGTTCGGAGCCTGCCTTCCTTTCGGCGCTCACAGCAAGTCCCAGAGCCCGCCGGGGCTGCCCGAGCAGGTGGTGCAGGGATGCCGGGGTGTTGGAGAAGGTGCGGGCGAGGGCTGCAAGGAGTGGGTAGGTCACGGAAGGGAGGGGCGGGGGCAGAAGGGGAGCAAGCAAGCAGCAGCCGCCGCTCGCGCTCAGGGTGTTTCGGGGTCCTGGGAGGGGAGGTGGCAGCTGTAGAAGCAGCGGTTGTGGCGGCGACGGCGACGGCTCCCGGATGCTCGGGCTGCAGTAGCAGCAGAGGCACCCGTGGTGGCGGCGGCAGCGGCGGCAGCAGCGGCGGCGGCGGCGGCGGCGGCGGCGGCAGCGGCGGCAGCGGCGGCGGCGGCGGTGACGACGGCGGC